AACCTACTGCCAGTGCAATCAATCGGACCTGGAATTATTCTATTTAGTCGTAAAAAATATTATTTTATTTTCAGATTGTTTATTGGGATTTAATTTCAGTCACTGAGATTTTTCAGGAGAAGTTGAGTCAAGAACCGAGTTATAGCTTCCTTCGTCGTTACCCACAAATTTCGAATCGAACCGAACTATTAGTGTTGAGTGTGAATGATAGCTAATATTTTTAGTCGTCCAAATTTGTCAATTATTTAGACTAAATATCTAACTATTAAATTAATCCGTAGGAATTGATTCGGTTCGAACTACTGTTCCAGTTGATCGTGATAGGCGTTACTACTCGTGTTAGTTATTTTGTTAAGGTGTTTCTGTTTGGTACTATATTATTTTGTGTTTATTGATTGTTTGTCTGATGACTATGTTGTATTGTTGAATTTATTATAATTGAAGTAAGCATGTTGATTGGAAGTTTGATTTCGTGCGGAATAGATTTTGTGATATTGTGATATTTGATATAATTCGAAAATGTATGTTATGTGAAGTATACTGATAAGTCGAATTGAAAATTATAAGGTGCACTCGAATTATTTGTATTTGTAATTACTACAATCGGATCTGATCGGAATTCGGATAGGTGATCCATTTGCATATCATGTTGAGACGAATTTTGATAGCAGAAGTTCAATTCATTCATTCGATGGGTGAATGTTACTTTTTTTGGTTTCAATGGTATCTGTCTTTGTGGTAGATCCCCGCTTATATGGTGTGAGGGTTGAATTTTGTGTGGTTCTGGGAAACCCACTCTTCTAGGTGTGACAGGAACGGACGAGTGCATGAGCATTTGTATATCATTTGAATTGTGATTAACGTTGATGTTTTGTCGTATGAATATTATTTATTACTTTGGATTATATTATTATTTGTGTTTGATTGCACTTTAGAGACACACTAAGCTTTAATAATAGCTTACACTTCCATAGTTTCTTTCTTTCAGATACTCAGATCTAGGTGAATTGGTACTTGGAGGGTTTCGTTATTTATTTCCAAGCATACAATTATTTATAGTACGAACTTTATTAAATATTTCTATTCGTCGGATATTTATTATTTATTTTTGAATTATTTTCATTACTTATATTTTGGGCATCGGACATTATAATTATTTTTAAAATTGTTTGCACACGAGGGAATTTTCTTTAATAATTGTTTTGATAAATTATGATTTAAACTTGAATATTTCTTTAGTTATATTGTAAATTTTTAGGTTTTGAATCGAACATGAATTTTGTGAGAGAAGTTTCAATTGAGCTCTTTAGATTGGACTTAATTTCTTTTAAATTGAGTTTAAGGGTTTAAAAATAGTATTTACTCAAAAGGGGAGGAATTAAACATTCCTCTTAACTTCACCATTTTGTCGATTCACTGAACCATTGAAAAATTATATCCTGAATTTGAACACATTGCATCACCATCAAAACTTTTAAGTGTTATGATTTGAATTAGTACATGACTTTGATTTATTGATTAAAACTAGTACTTATGTTTTTAACCAATTTAAACCAAGTTGCGTTATGTAACAAAATTCAAGTTCACATATCTAATTAGTAAAAAAGTTTATGATAAACTATATCAGCGATCACCTAATTATAGTCTCTTTTTATTTAAAATATTATTTTTGAATTCTTGTCAATTAGATCACCTAACTATTTAAATACATTTAATCAGGCATAATGAAAGTTCTTACGTGATCATAATTTTAATATAATTTAATAAAATTTTAATATAATTAATTTAGTTATAATTTTAATGTAATTTAATAAAATTTAATCTCCAATTTAATGGAAACATTGGAAATAGCTTATTTGCAACTGAAGGGGATCAAGATCAAACCTTTGGCCCACTTGTGCACGCCTAAGCCATTGGACTAAGCAGTCCACTTGGTATACTTTTACAACATTTTTTATATAATATGTTATTACTGTTGATAGAGAAAAAAGAAACTAACATTAAGGCAATTAAATTATTTTTTAATATAATTAATTATGTTAAAAAATTAAAATTATACTTTGATTCTATAAAATAAATAGAGTTTAAATTTTGAATTCAATTTTTGATGAAATTAATTTTAGAGTTAACTACACGGATGATCACTTATATTTGTGTTTTGTCTACTTTTGGTCATTGATTTCAAAAAAACATAAGATATAGTCATTTTCCTTTTTATTTAATTAAGATGTAGTAATCACGGGTCAACTACTTTTAACAATTAACAAAATATGTGACGTAATAGTTGGTATAATCACACATTTAGTATATGTTATTTACATTTTCTCTCAATATAGTCATACTTTTTAAATAAAGTTTAACATAAAATATATATTTTTAAATGAACTTGAAAATAAAATATTTTTAAATTAAGTTAATAATAAAATATATTTAATAAGTTATATAAAAATATTTTTTAAGTCGATATATATAAAATATATACACCATGTTGTCTACTTTAGACCAAGCAATGGCATTGGCTTAATGGTTAGATACATGTTTGTTTCTTAAGTGAACAAGGTTTGAATCTTTTTTGTCCCAATTTGCTTTCCTTTGTTTTCTTTCAACCAAAGGGTGACACATGTCACTCTTTGATTGGTGGAAATAAATATATTAAATTAAAATAAATTTAGTCCTCCAATCGAAAGGTGACATGTGGCATGAATGTGGTATCATTCGATTGGAGGATTAAGTTTATTTTAATTTATTAAAAGTATAACTAAATTGAGAGAATATATAAATAGTAGTGACCAAATGTGTATTATATCAAAATACTTAATTGTTGTTAATGGCAGTAACTCGGGGTGACCACATCTTAATTAAATAAAAACAAAAGTTATCATATCTTATGTTTTTTGAAATCAGTAACCAAAAGTGGATAAAACACAAACATAAACGATCATCCGTATAGTTAACCCTTAATTTTAAAACATTACATTTTTTATTTTAAAACTTATATTAGTTTAAAACATATGAAATGTACATATTTATAAATCATTAATTAAATTTGTTTAAACAATTTTGGAGATATTATGACCTCTAAAAAAATCAAAAGTTAGATTTATTTTATTTTTTATTATAATACAAAATAAATATAATGTGTTGTGAGATATGGACCGAGTATTAGTGTTGGTTCAATGGTAGAAAAATACTTAAATGTTTTTGTGGGTCCAATTTCGAGCCCCTATAGAAGCTTTATTTCCTCTCAATATTTTTCTTATTTCTGATTGTCTCAACTTGAAACTTAATCCGTGTGTAAGTTGTTTACAATACTTTGCATAAAAAGTACAAAAAAAATACACAAAAAAGTTGTGATACGAGTCACCATATGATTGGACACAAAATAAAATAAAATAAATAATTAAAATTAATAAAATATATTTCAATTAATTGTGAAAAATTGTCACCATCTAATTGGAGATTAAATTTTATTAAATTTAATTAAAATTATGACCAAATTAATAAAATATATAAATATCAAGGATTAAATGTGTAATTATACTAATTTTATTAAATACTACGTCAACACGAGCTAGTTACCTGATTGAATGCATTTAAATAATTAGGGGACATGATTGACACAAATTCAAAAATGATGGTCAAACTGAAAAGGTGATATAGTTGGGTGGTCATTGATATAGTTTACCCAAAAGTTTAAATATCAAATTAAACCTTAAAACATTTAAAAATTTAAATGACACAATTAAAATAATTTTTATGACCAAACTAATAGCGCTTAAAAGTTGGGTAACTATTGGGTGGTTTACCCCAATAATTAGGCAATGGTCTTTCTGAGGTGCGAGTTTAATAGTTTTGACATACTGTGTTGTCTTCTAATGGCCGAGACAGCAATGCAGTTCTTCCTTCTGTGGCTCGTAGCAGCAACAGAGAAGTCATAGATGGAATCAACATACGAATGCAAGTCGTAGTACAGATAAATTAAAAAAAAAAAATTAAACATTGACGCCAAGTGAGAATAAAAGAATTTAAAAAGAGAAATTGTGAGATATGCAAGAGATTTTAGAAGAGAACCAATTACAAAAGCAACTCCCGATTCCGGACGACAGGGCTCTTTGGCTTCATCATATTCCAAATTTAATTTACTTTCTCGATCAACATCTCGGCGGTCACGTTCTCTTTACGATTATCCGATGATACGGACCGAACGAGAACGACGTGAAGCTTCACATTTTGGATAGTTTTATAATCGAGAGTGGAGATATCACATTCTTCTAAAAAGTTTAAATTTATAATAAAAATTATAATTTTTATTAATAATATGTTTCTATCACCAAGAAAGAAGCTATGCTATTTTTTTTATTGTCTTTCTTAATTAATATGGATCGATTCGGGTCGTACATATGATTTTGGTGGGTGAATATCTCAATGGGGATTCTCTTCTGATTTTAGTGAGTGAATCTCCTAATGGGGATTTTTTACATTCACAAGGATCCGAACTCGAGATCTGCTTAAGTGAAATCAAGTAGCTTACTACTTGAACCAGTGCATAATTATTAGTTTTACAGATCCATTGCACCTGTAATTTTTTATCATTAAAAGAATATATATAGAGATAAATATCTATTTATAACTTCAAATTTTAATTTATTTTAGTTTTACTATTTTTGTTTTCTATTATTAATTATATTTTATTTCTTTTGTGCCAGAATCCGGACTCCATCTTTATTTTTTTTCAATTTTAAGAATTTATCTCTTAAAATAGAATTTATATAAAATGTGTTAAGGTTAGTTGGATCAATCATCCTATGTTAGTTATATTATTGTTATTTCTGTTATTATTAATTTTCTTGGGGTTGCTAGCTGGAACCGGGAATTCCGAAACACATATATATTGCATGTTGACGGTGAGGAAAGAACATAATGCAAATTCTCTGAAAGCTTCTTATTTCTAGAACTTCTTACTAATTTCGTCCGTAACATTCACAGAACTTTCAGTAAAGATGAGTCAAGATGCAGTGATGGAAGACATTAACTCAGCCGATTACGTTTCCGATGACTCCACTAATTGCCGTAACTATCTTCTTCAATTGCTAGGATTCATTTTTCCTTTTATTTAACTTCGTTTTCATTTCTTTAATTCTGTTTCGTAACGTAGATTTGGTGGATCTTGTTTTTCTTATTTTGAATGATTCCGACACTGATGAGGTTCGCCGCATAGCCCGTATCGATCGCATCACGTACAGGCTGAGGCGGACGTTCACGGCACCTCTGCTCTATGCATTTCTTCGTTACGCGTTACTGCCTGAGTCTGAAGCTTTTTCCAGATTGTCCTCATTTCTTCCTGTGGTACAATTCCTCGACTTCTTTTTGGCTTTTTTTCTCTTCTTTGTAGCTAAATTAAAGCTTTAGCTTGCCTTTTTGGTGGATAATTCAAGATCACGTCATTCTTGATTGTTAGTCTCTCAGTTTACTTAATTCGGTGGTTTAGTAACATAATGAGCTCAGTGCAAGGCTATTTTATTGAAATTATTGAAATACTTGTGTTCTTGAATTCTTTAACTATTGCAAACTACTACGCTTTTATATGGAATTATAGATATTGGCGTTTTCTCAAACAAGTGAACTAGGCTGTACAAAACTTCTATGTGATATTGAACAATGATTCTATGGGGCATCTTTAGGTTGGTTTGACCTTTCAAATGACAATATCTTTAATGTAAAGTTATGATTTCTGTGCATCAGATGTATGTTCTAGTTTCTTCAATATCAACTCGGATTATTGGAAGTTTGTTTTCCTAGAACTGTATGTGAATTAAATAAATGATTGCAGGAAGAATGGCATGACTCGGACTCCAGTTGTGTAATATCTGCAGATCAGCCTCCAACAGAAAATTTGGTGCCAGAACTTGAGATTTTTTGCTCTTTGCTCGTTCTCTTTTTTCTTATTGACCATAAGAAATTCAATGAGGTTAGACTTGTTTTCTGAATTTGTATTCTCTTTTCCTTTATGGCCAAATCCACTTGTTAACCCGCAGAGATTCTCTTGCCCTGTTCTCTTTCAGGAGGCTAAAGCTTGTTCCTTAGCGTGTATTAACCGGCTCAAGAGCCTAAACAGAAGAAATATAGATATCCTAGCATCTAGACTATATTTCTATTACTCGTATAGCTATGAGCTCACTGGTGATCTTGCCGAAATTCGCGAGTAAGATATTAATAGCTGACTGTCTCTTCTATGGTTCCTGTTATGTTTGTGTGCTTTCATGTATAGACATATGTTAAAAAACAACTTAAGAAATGTAGTGGAACATAAGAGTTCAATCATTTCTCTAATTGTTCTTGGAACTTCTACTTGCAGAGATCTCCTTGCCTTGTATTGTACTGCTACACGATGCCATGAAGAGCTCAGCCAGGTTGTCGTCAATCAATATAGAGATTGTTTTGGGTAAGAGATATTTAGAGCTAATGCATAATATTCTGGCATACTGCAGGAAACACTTATAAACTTGTTGTTGCGTAACTATCTTCATTATAACCTCTATGATCAGGCTGACATGTTTAGATCTAAGGCACCAAGATTTGAAGTGCACTCGAACCAACAGGTAGATGTTGTCTTGATCTTTTTCTTGTTTAACTTGAGCATCAGGCTCAAGGTTGATTTTGCAATAATCATTCTTTCTCACTTTTTCATCTGTTACTATTCTCTTGCTGGAAAATCAGTACAGTTTACCTTTAGTCTTTATTTGGATGAGCGAACCAACACAGTGATTTTCCATTGGTTATGAACATGCAAATATCTTGATATTATTAAATATCTCCTAATTTTCGGTGAATCTAATGTCCTAAAATTGGGAAATTGTATATTCAAGGTATGATTGATGGTATATCTTCTGTTCTGCAGTTTTGTCGATATCTCTTCTACTTGGGGAAGATTAGAACAATTAAGTTAGAGTATACCGATGCAAAAGAGAGTTTGCTTGAGGCTTCTCATAAAGCCCCTGTTACAGCCCGGGGTTTCAGAATTCAGTGTAACAAATGGGCTATATTAGTCCGTCTGCTGTTGGGGGAAATACCTGAGAGGTCAATCTTTGTGCAGAAAGGAATGGAGAAGGCTTTGAGACCATATTTTGAGTTGACAAATGTAAGTGTGGTTTGTTTATGATGAATCCTTATTAAAGGAGAAAACAAAATTCTTTTGACATTTATCTTGATTACCTATAAATGTATATTGAATTTGGTGCTGCTCATCTTGTTTTTTTTTATGGTAAATTGTTAACTTTTTTTTTTTAATTTCAAAGAGAAGGTATAATGTCTTGGCAAAACTTTTCAGGCTGTACGGATTGGTGACTTGGAGCTGTTTCAGAGTATTGCAGAGAAGTTTTCAAGCACCTTCAGTACTGACAAGACCCAAAACCTTATAGTCCGCCTGCAAAATATTGTCATCAGGGCTGGGTTACGCAACATCAGTACCTCTTATTCATGCATTTCACTTGCCGACGTTGCTGAAAAATTGAGGTTGAATTCTGAAACTCCAGTTGCAGATGTCGAAAGCATTGTAGCAAAGGCCATCCGTGATGGTGCAGTAGATGCTACATTGGATCATGCAAACGGTTGGATGGTGTCGAGAGAGATTGGTGACATTTATTCGACAAATAAGCCTACAACTGCCTTCCAGTCCAGGATTGCTTTCTTCCTTAACATGTACAATAAAGCAGTTGAAGCCGAGTATTTTTCACCATACTGGCCCAAGGAGGAAGAAAGCGTGAATAGGAGAGAGAGGATACAACGAGCGGATGAACTGGCAAAGCTCAACGCCGAGGAGGATTATGATGATGCCTATTTTTAAGGATTTTGCCTTGATGATTGGGAACTGCAACATTGTTTCTCAACCTTCTTGGATGAATCGACTATTGTCATTGGTAATCCTAATAAAGGAAAACCGACGAAGTCTCGGTCGTATATAGAGTTCTCATTTATCCATTTGGTAGAACACTAACAGGAATAAAAAACAATGTTTACTATTTTTGTTGTCTCCTTGCGTTATCGTTCGATCGACTCTTTTTACTTCCTTACCTTATGGACTAAGGTTGTAATGTTGTTAATGATACTTGGCAAAGTCAAGCAGTCTTCTGGCTTGAATATGACTTCAAGCCATCAACCTTCTCTTTATTGATTTTGTTTATTAATAATTACTCTCTTCCTTTCTATCTTATTGGTTAAACTACACATCCTAAAGCCAAACAATCATGTGATGTTTCCGATTTATATTATTGGTTAAACTATAGATCCTATAGCCAAAGAAAGTGTTACATGCTATTCAAATATTATATGCATTTTATTACTACCATGCTTCTTAGAATCAGACCAAATTGGTCGGTTGTATACTTGTCTTTGCTCGCCAAATTGAATCGGTGGGTAAATTAGAGATTACACGTACCATTAAAAATTTTGATTAAAAAATTATTGATTAATTGCTGGGAAGAAACCGAACAACCTAGACAAAGCGCAAGTATAATCGGTGTTCTTTCTCTCTCTATAACTCCAGTAAAAAATTATGGCAAGCACAATAGTACAATATATATTCTCTAGCAATGGTAATCAACCACAACGTCAACCATGCAACTACAAAAATAGTAAATCAAGACATTGATATTTTTACGTGGAAAACCCTTTTATATCAAAAGTAAAAACCTTTAAATCAAAGGTAAAAATCAAGGGACTTTAGAGTCTAATCAAAAGGTCCACTATTAACAAATGTTCAACTACAAGATCACAAAATCAAGCTACTACAAGCTTATAATTCCAAGAAGGCTAACAACTAGTAATCTTTAGCAAAAAAAGAGAAAATGGGAGAACATCACCAAAAACACAACCTGTTGAAAAATAGATATTTCAAAAATAAAAGCCTCGGATGAAAAATCCGACCGTACAAAGTCAAAAACACTTTGTCTCCTAGCTACTATCCAAAAATCAACTCAATTAAACCAAAAATGGACCTCCAATCAAAAAGTTGATCACTGTTGCACCAAAGCTTCAAAGACTGTTTTTCTCCCCCTTTGTTTCTCTCAAACGTGAAGCTCACACTTTTTCAAATCTAATTTTATTTTGTTGTCCACGCCTTTTTTACAAACAAGACAAAAGTATAACTCTTTTTTCCAAAGTAAAAAAATGGTAATAAAAGTGGCAGAACCTTTTTACGAAAAAGGAAACAAAATAAGCAACCTATTTTTAAGTTGCACTCCATTTTAAGTTGCAACCTATTTTTAAGTTGCAACCTATTTTTAAGTTGTAACCTATTTTTAAGTTACAATCTATTTTTAAATTGCAACCCATTTTCTAGTTGCCCATTTTAAGTTATAGCCTATTTTCTGGTTACTCATTTTCTAGTGATGGGTTTCTCATATAGTGGGACCTACACCTAACAAATCACCCCTCCAACTATGTGGGGAATGTCTCCATGCAGTAAGTCAAACAATATGCTTCAAACTTTCCTCTTGGTAAGATGTTTGTCAACATATCAACACCATTATTATCGGTGTGCATCTTCTCAAGCTCTAACAAGTTAGCTTCAATAACATCTTGTATCCAGTGGTATCTCACTTCAATATGCTTAGATCTAGCATGAAAAGTTGAGTTCTTACCAACATGAATCGCGCTATGGTTATCACAATACAAGACATAAATTTCTGGAGTAAAACTAAGTTCATACACAAACTTCTTCATCCAAAGCATCTCCTTGCACTCTTCAGTAGCTGCAATGAACTATGATTCGATGGTGGACAATGCAACACATTTTTGCAACCTAGATTGTCATGCCACAACTCCCTCTACATAAGTGATCAAGTAGCCTAAAGTAGATCTCCTCAAGTTAATATCTCCAACCATGTTTGAATCTATATATCCAACAAGAACATGTTTCTCATTGCCGAAACAAAGTTGCATGTTGGAAGTGCCACGAAGATATCTTATAATCCACTTCACTGCATTTCAATGTTTTTTCCTGGATTAGAAAGAAACCGACTAACTATATAGTGTAAGCTAAGTCTGGTCTCGTGCTATCATCACATACATCAAACTACCCATGGCTGAAGAGTAAGGAACTTTCTGCATCTCTTCCTTATCCTTTTCTGTGAAAGGACTGCTTAACACTAAATCTAAAGTGCATAGCAAAGGGAGTATCCACCGCTTTAGCTTTGTCTATATTAAATCTTTGAAGTACCTTCACAATGTATCTTTCCTATGATGATCACAATTTATTGGCCTTTCTATCACTTGTTGTAAGCGACGTAATTGTCAAATAATTAATCCTTTTTTTCTCAGATAATTATGCTTTAAATGTAATATAAGGAAGGAAGGTGTCAGTCCACATGATTCATAAATTTCTAATTCTGATTTGATTTGTTCTTGAATTAAGAAATATGTAAAACAAAAAGATTAAAAAGATGGAGAGTTTAGAATAATCAAGTAAACTAAATAAAACTAAACTAAAAGCAATAAAAGTAATAAAATTACATTGTAGGGAATTAGTTAAGATGAGAGATAGCCTCCAGCTTTACTTTGCCTCAATTCGTCTCGATCACTTAAATAAATTTTAATTCAGATACTTGCATGTTATAGTCTACAAGACCCAACCATTGTAACTTACTATTTCTTTGGTGAAATAATTTGCCAAAGTCAATCCTTGGAATTTAGCCCTTGTTTGGATTAACAAAGTCTATCGATGTTAACGCCAATGCTGGTTTATAAACTAGAAAAGCCCGTGCTCGGATTATGGTGTCTCAATGAGAATCGAACCTGATCTTGGTTTCCCTTGGCGGACCACTGCTAAGTTTGTTCTTAGGGAATTGAATTTGTTACAAGCCGACTCTCCTCCCCGATTATAGATAAAAACTTTGATCAAACCAATGCACACACTTTGAATTGAAAGTGTTGAGATGTTTAAAGAAAATGCTGATTGCCTTCCCTTGTTTATCGAAAATCAAGAAAGAATATAAAGATGTGAAGTGCTTTTTCAATTCTCACAAAACGGATTGAGACTTCGCTTAGTTATCAGTTAAATAAAAGTTTAGCCAAACATAACAGAGACCATACATGGTGTATGGAAAGAAATAAGATGAAAAAGAAAATTACTTTTATTAAACTGAAAACCCTAAAATAAAACCAAAACTAAAATCATTATTGAACTGAATATCTGACCTCTCCCCAAGCTTCACCCCTAAAGGGTATTTATAGCTTTGAGATAACCTAATGAAAATAAAATACTAACTCTTAATAATATTAAAACACTTAATTACTAATTAATAGTAAACTAAAAGTCCTAATAATAAATAATTAAAATCCTAAGCAAACTAGAATCCTAATTAATTAAATAATAGAATCTCAAATGTTTGAATTTAATTACAACTTTTAATTCCTAAAGAATTGCAGTTCACCCGGTATTTCTCCTTTGATATTGTTGACTAGATTATTTAATTGAAGTTGGCGTCTAACTTGGTCTTTTAATTAAAGTTGGAGCCCACTACTCCCAGAAAATATGATGAATATGCTTTAATTCATTCTTTAATTGTTATTTTCTGAAAAATAGAATCTTGCACAGAATATAACATAAATAACCCAAATTAGCAGTATTAAGAGATAAAACATATTAATTAATAACAAAATATTAACTAAATAAGACATTCATCAAATTCCCCCTCACTTATTCAATGCTTCTCCTCAAGCATGCCTTAATCAATTATTAAAATCTCAAATTATCAATCTTTCATCTCACAATATATCAAGGATACCAAACGAGTCAATGATTACATCAATTATCGGAAACAAGGTGACAATTAAGAAAGTAGCAAGGATTCACTCATTATCGCTCAGAGTGTTTAGGGTAAAAGAAATCGCTTAAAGCCAAGATTAATAAAGACATTACCATAGGCTTGCAAGAAAATCAAGTCTCCATCACTAGAATGAACAAGATGTATTTAATCAAAAGGTCTTTGATCAGGTTGTAACAGGGCTTAGGTTAAGGTAGGGATAAGGCTGAAAAAATTGGGTTTAAACGTCAAGAAAATAGATGAAAAATATATGAGTTCAAGTCACGAATTCAACAAAGTAAACACACTCGAAGAAGCGTAATCAAACAATCAAATTTCTCCCTTTTTTGATTTTCTTTGTTGTTTTCTTTTCTTCTTCTTATTTTTTATGCTTGAACACTTTATTCGAACCATATTTTTTTTAATTTTTTGAATGATTCTTCTATCTTCTCTTGATTTTTCATTCATGGAAGAAATCTATCTCCTGTCTTGACAAGGGTAACAAGAGAGGGTAAAATAAAAATTAAAAGGCTTTGAGTTTTATAATGTGGTGAAAACAAAGAAAGGATAAAGGCACAAAGTTGGTCTCCTAATGGATATAAATGGGTAGGAAATTTGGGTAGAGAAGTGAGTTAATCCTAAGTGCCTTAATCATCTTAAAGCATTAAGTTCAACATGTGTCTCGCTATGCATTTAATCACAAGTTCTAGAATGTCAAAATTAATCCTACACACTCAATCAAACAAATGAGTAAGAAAGAAAAGTGTGCTCGTTTAGGCTCAAATATTACAAAAAGTGTATTGTGTATCAAACCAAGAAACATATCAACCAATGGATTTATGGAACATTAAGCAAAAATTTTAAAGAAAAATACTAATCATGCCATTTTTACTATCATGCACCCTAAATTCAATAAAAATGTGATCACAAACTCATAAGGTAATTGACACACGTCGTTTCTATGTTAAATAATTTATCCTTAATCTCAGTGAAAAAAAGAAAATAGAAAATTGTAATAGGGAGAATAAGGGTCGATCTGTATGGACTAAAGAAGTTGCTGACAATTTAGTTATTAATTTCTTATATGACCAAAAATTGCAAAATAAATAAATAATGGGGGAGATTTTTTGATAGTTTATAAAGAAAGTAAATATAATCTAAAGGTAATAAAGAAAGAAATTTTAAAGAAAGTAAAATGAAAATTCTACGAAATAAAATCAACCTCAGGCTTTAGGTTTGTCTCAAATCCATAGATCATTAAATAGGATCTTAGCTTCAGATTCATGTCGATTACAGTCTACAAGGCCCAACCCCTGTAACTTATTTTTCTCTCAAGTGAACCGATCATCCAAAATTAATCTTTGGATCCTAGTCCTTATATAGACTAACTGCGATAATTGATTGTTAATACCAACTTCGTTTTATTTTTGGAAAAACTCGACTTGGATCATAGAGTCTCGATGAGAATTGAACCCGATTTCAGTTTCCCTTAACGGATTGTCACTAAGTATGTTCAAGGAAGTCTAATGTGCTACAAGCGATCATTCCTCCCAACTATTAATTGAAATCGTAATCAATCTAACGTGCACATTTTGAAAGGAAAACGTTTTTTATTATAAAAGGATGGCTGATTGCCAATTCTTGGTTTCAGAAAATTGAAAATGTAATCTAAAGGGTATAAGGTGTTTTTCAATTCTCACGATTGGAATTTAGTCATCGCTTCAGCCTTTGACTTATAAAAAACTTAGCTAAGCATGGTAGAAACCATACTTAGCATTTAAAAGTAAAGAAAAGTGAAAGTAAAAAGAAAGGAAATTTTATAAAACTAAAATTTGTATACTTTACCCTTTTATTAATTAACCCAATAGGAAATATAGAAGTTAGTTTTGGGATCTACGGTATTTGCTTAAGAAATTCTTCACGTTGAGATGACAAATTTACTCAAATAATATATATTTTTATTCAAACTTATCAAGTCGAGGTGATGAGTTTCAAAAAAATACAACTTTTTTATTAAATTTTATTATATTGAGGTAAAAAGTTTGAATAAAAAATAATTTTTATTGAAATTCATCTATTCAACTTGACAAGTTAAAAATTATTGTAACAAATATAGTAGATCTATAGAGAAAATTGTTTTGTGCTGACAAATATCGTAAACCCTTAAATAAACTTGCTTTGTGCTGTGCTGGGGTAAATAGTTAGCCCAACATTAGGTATTGGGTTAAAATTGCATGAATTTCGTCTGTTTGGTCCGAAACAAAAAACTCTAATCTCCAGGCCATTGCTTAGTTTGAATTAAGGGACTCAGTTGTGGCTCGTTACTTAAGTCTTGTGTTTAATCTTTATTATTATTTTTGATAAAAAGTTCATTATTTTTGTAATTAACTTTAAGTAATTAGGAAAGTGAAAAGTGGTTAATAATAACGAAGGTAGGGTTGTAAATGAGATAAGATAGATAGTGAGGTATTTGAGATTGACTTGATTAAAACTCGATAAATACTCGATTTGAATGGACTCAACTCGAGTTCTTAACAAGCCGAAACGAGCTATTTGATACTCAATTCTAAAAGCTCGCGAGCAATTTGAAAATAAATAATATATTAAAATTCTATTTTTCAAAAAATTAAATTATTAATAATATTAAATTTATGTGTTGGTTTAAAAAAAAATACAATATAAGATTTTTATGTACTTAAGATTCATATTTGAGTTCGAGTTTGAGCTTAAATTGAGTTCGAGTTAATGAACATGTTAGATGCAACACCAACTCCAACACCGATGGTAACTATTACTCATCTCACAACGATGGAGATCACTTTTCTGATATTTCTTTGTACAGACAAGTTGTAGGCACTCTTCAACATATCTGTAACATAAGGCATGATATTTATTTTGCTGTTAATAAGGTTAGGAAATTTATGCATAACCCATTAGACAAGTATTGGAAGGCGGATCGACGAATTCCAAGGTATCTCAAAGGAACAATGCCTCATGGGTTGTTGTTCCGAGCCTCGTCTTTGCTAACTATGTTTCTTGGTGACAATCCAATTGTTTGAAGCTCGCAGAAACAAAATCTAGTGTCTCGTTCCTCTGCAGAAGCTGAATTCAGAAGTTCAGCTAATGTTATGTGCGAAGCAATGTGGATTGAGTCTCTTCTTATGGAACTTAGTATAAAACCTCCTTCTTTACTGAGACATATAGTGTGATAATACGAGTGCAATTGCACATGTTGAGAATTCAGTTCATCACGCAAAGATGAAACATGTAGAGTTAGATTTAAGCTTTGTAAGGGAGAAAGTGGCAGACTGATCAATAAAAGTTAACTATGTTCCAGCAATTGATCAAGTTGTAGATATACTGACAAAATCTTTATCTGCAGCCTTCTTTAATAGACTAGGAGAAAAACTAAAAGTATTTTCTCCTGATGAATTGAAGAATGAATAAAATTTGTTTCGGTGAACAAGGAAGAGGAGTGTTGGAATGTATTAGTTATTAGTATGTCTTCTCTTAGCAGGAAGGGTACTCAAGTTTATCAACTAGTAGAAAGTACATTAGATTCTGTCATTCTCGATGATCTAGAGAGCAGGAAGTATGTTAGGAATATGTTATCATATTAATCTTTATGTTTTAGTTAGAAATTAGTTGTGCCCTTGCAACATAATTTTCCATCAATACACAATCTTTTTAAATTCTAACGAACGTAATACAAATAAATTTAAAAATAACCAAGCGTAAATAGGAATTTAATCGTCCAAAAAATTTATTTATAATTTTGAAGGTATAATCTATTTAAGGAATGAGTTATGCTTGTACGTATGCGCTTATGTTAATGTATATGGTAGAATTTGATAGAAGTAGAAGAGGAAAAGTTTGATGTTGTTTTGCAGTTGTCGGCAGCTCCAAATCAGTTTCTACGAAAGAAGTCTCAGGATCTACAGTTTAGAGAGCCGAGTCGGATAGTAAAAGCTTACAAGTGTCATTTCAATGGATAAAAAAAGGTTTGGCATTGGAATCTTTTTCCAGTTAAACGAAACCAATTTGTACAACGTATCATGTTTAACGATACAATCCAGATCAGGAAAATGTTGATTAACCCAAAAAGGCAGAAAGACGCAGCATTCTCGGATTCTCACAGAACCAATACAAATGAAACACTATCAGCTCAAAGCAGCGTGTTCCAAAAACTCAGTTAACTTTGATTTCCGACTCGTCTTGTTAGACCCAAAAGACATTGATGCTTGCTTCCTTTATAGATTTACAGACAGGACAAGAGCGAAGGAAAGGTTCACAGGAGTGGCACGAGCAAAGGTGTCTGCATGGTAGAAACACAACGCACGAGCTCCCGGTGCTGCAGTGCTTGCAGACCATCTTATTATCGTTGCTCGTTTCTTCTCGATCAAACGAGGCACTGAAAATGGATTCAGCGTCTTGTGCTGTGTTTGGGGCCCTGACTTGGCTCTCATTCACTTGTTGCAGTGTGTTGCTTAGATCCGTAAGCGTTGTTTCATTTGCTTTCGCAAGTCTTCGCCATGAGTCGCTCTCCATTTCCACTTTCCTCAGTGAGGCTTCCAGCTCTCTTCTTTTCTTTGTTGCTCCGGCCAATTCATCTTCTTTTCGTCTCATCAAATACAAGGCCTTTGATTCCATACGGTTTAGCAAGATGGCCAATTGTTGCTTTCTTTGCTCTCGTAAAGTAGATATTAGCCTCTCATTCTGGTTTTCTCCGCCCATGAGAGAACGTTACAAAAAGGATAATTCTCAGTTTAAAAAAAGTAAACAATTACAAATGGAGATAAATTTATGAGAAAATCGCCTCAGTGACCAAAAAAAAGTTATAATATACGATTTTAACCAACTTTTTTTGGATTTGCCAAAATGACCAACAAAATCGCAACGCGAAATAAAAATCGCAACGCGATCCCCAGAATCGCAAATCAGTTTCCAGAATCGCAACGCGATTCTTGAAAATCGCGATGCGATAGTACAAATTCGCATTGCGATTTTCCATAATCGCAACGCGAATATGAAAATCGCAACGCGAACACATAAATCGCAACGCGTATCCGTAAATCGCAACGTGTATCCGTAAATCGCAACGCGTATGGGTAAATCGCAATGCGTATCCGTATATCGCAACGCGTATCCGTAAATCGCAACGCGTATCCGTAAACCGCAACGTGTATCCGTAAATCGCAACGCGTATCCGTAAATCGCAATGCGTATCCGTAAATCGCAACGCGTATCCGTAAATCGCAACGATAATCCGTAAATCGCAACGCGTATCCGTAAATCGCAACGATAATCCGTAAATCGCAACGCGTATCCGTAAATCGCAACGATAATCCGTAAATCGCAACGAGAATCTGTAAATCGCAACGATAATCCGTAAATCGCAACGAGAATCTGTAAATCACAACACTGAAATTTTGGGTATATAACACTGAAATCATAAACTAAATCCCTAAATCGCAACTCATTCCATCTCCATCTATCACTCTCTCCGGCGACATCCGTTCCTATATCCAACGACATCCTTCCCCATCCGGCAACAGGTCTTAGTTTCGCATCTCGTTTGTTTAGTTACAACCATGAAATCATCTAATGTTGATCATGTTTGGATAGATTTGTGTTTTGGAGGGTCATGGGATAATGTTAATGGTGTTTTACAATATATGCCTTTACCCATAAATCTTCAACTAAAATTGTCTTTACAAAAGTTAACTTATGAAACTCTAATGCTACGTGTTTCAAATAAATTGAATTTAGAGCCCCTAAGTGGATTTAGGCTATCTTATCAGAGAAATGGTAAAGTTTATTTGTTAACCGACAATGAAGATGTTGAACGATTCATTGCTTACATTAGTGTTTCACAAGATGATGTTACATTGTATGTTGTTGAACCTAGAAGTAGTATTGTTGGGTCAGTAGCGGGTAGTAATCAACTAAGTTTTTCTCAAAACCCACAACCTTTCTCTAATCCAAATCCCAATCAACTTTCAGCACCAAATTCCGGTTTTCGTATTGACCAGTTAGACGATGATGAGCCAACAGAAAAAATTGTGAGTACTAGTCAGTATTCGAAATTTGGTCTTGGTCAATATCCGGACTTTGATATTGGTCAATACACGGATTTTGATGATGTTTCAGAAGAAGAAACAGACCATGCGTGTAATGATATTGATATTGGTCAATACCCGAATTTTGATGATGAAACAGCCGTTGCCGAAGAATGTAATGTTGATGATAATGAGGAGGAAGTTACGACTGTGAATGAACATGTTGAACATCCATTCTGTAATTCATATAATCCTGAAGAAGAAAAGAAGAAGAAAAAGTCCCCGAAGAAAAGAAAATGCCACGGGCGTATAACTGGAATATGCCAGAATTACTTCAGATACCGGAAGAAGAGTTGATAAAGAAAGCAGTTGATTGTTACACAAAGTTATTCGTATCAAGAAAGATGATTGTTTTGATACAAAGGAAGACTTGAAGATAGCTTTATATACGAAATGTGTGGAAGATGGCTATCAACTAAAAGTTAACAAATCAAGCAAAGATCGTTTCGAAACAAGGTGTATGATTGACAAAAACTGTACGTGGCGTATGATTGCAAAGAGAATAAAGATTGCAAAATGTTTCAAGTTAGGACTTTTATTGATAAACATACATGTTCAAGAACCCAAGTTTTTCCTCACCATAGACAGGCAAACAAAAAGGTGTTGGGTGGTTTTCTGGCTGAGTTAATGTTTTTGAATGGCAGGGTATATCGGGGACATGAAATTATGACTGACATGAATGCTCGGTTCAAGATTAGTATATCATATTCTCAAGCTTGGAGAGCCAAATGTTATGCCTTGGAATTGTTGAGGGGGTCGCCAGAAGCATCGTTTGCCCAACTGCCGGCTTATTGTCACAATTTAAAGCTGAAAAATCCTGGGTCGGTAACTCATATCAAAACAGATAGAGATGGACGCTTTGAGTTGCTGTTTATCGCCATTGGTGCTACGGTTAGTAAATCAATATAATTTTGTTGACTCATTTTTGTTAGTTACATGCATTTCACATTTAAATGATTATATTTCTTGTGTATATTATTTTGTAGATTCGTTCGTTTATTACTTGCATGCGCCCAGTTATTATAGTTGACGGAGCACATTTGAAAGGTCGATACCTTGGAGTAAACTTATTAGCAGTAGCCATGGATGCTAACAATGGGATATTGCCAATAGCTTACGGGGTTGGCAAATCTGAAACCTCTGATTCATGGACATGGTTTATGGGGCATCTTAGGGATTGCATAGGTCCTATTAGCAATCTGACAATCATATCCGATAGGGCAAACTCAATTGACAACGCTGTTAGAAGGTGTTTCCCAGATGCTTTTCATGGACTTTGTGGTGTTCATTTGTATAGAAATCTAAAATCAAGGTCTGCTGGTATAAAAAAGCACAAATGGACATACTGGAAGGCTGTAAAAGCTTATCGGGAAGTGGATTTCAATAAGCATATAAATTGTTTAAGACGTGTTTTGCCTCAGTGTGCTCAAACACTAGAAGATGTCGGGTTTGAAAGATGGTCAAGAGTACATCAACTTGGAGCAAGATATGGTTTCATGACGTCTAATAGTGCAGAATCAATCAACGCTCTAAGTCGTCATTCCCGGAAATTACCCATTACTATGTTAATGGAGTTTTTCGAGCCTCTATTCAACAGTGGTACTACAAGAAAAGAAACCATGCAGGTATTATTTCTTTGAATTCGTAACTTATCATATTTATATTTTACTAAGTATTGTTTATTTAAATTTACAGGAACATTGGAACATCGTGTTACACCATGGACTGAAAAAAAAGATAACGAAACGTGTTGTGAAGTCAACGTCATGGAGAGTTGAACCATGTTCAAACACTTTGTTTCAAGTACTGGATAATAACTTAAATGGGCTAGTCGATCTAAATGCAAAGACGTGTAGTTGTATGAAATGGCAAACATCTGGTTATCCGTGTGGCCATGTTATAAAAGTTGCTCTTCATTTAAACCAAGATGATTCAAGCGCATACGCTATGGATTGCTACACTACAGAAGTTTATCGACAGACTTATGCCGAGATTGTCTACCCTATTCCACATCCTTCTGAGTGGGACATACCAGATGACTTACAAACAGTTTTGCCACCAGCCATGGACAGAAGGCTACCTGGCCGACCAAAAAGTCACGATCGTATACCGTCTAAGGGTGAAGAGAAGAAGAGATCGACATGTAGTCGGTGCAAGGAAAGTGGTCATACAAGGTTGACATGTGGATCACCAGTGCCATCAAAATCATCTTTTCCTCTACCAAAATATGGATCCTCATCAAAATCCAAAGCTCATATGGTGTGAACTTTGTATTATGTAAACGTTGTTATTCAGTTGTATTATGTAAACGTTTTAACATTTAACATTTTATGTGTATTATGTAAACGTTGCCATCAAAAGCTCATATGCAAACGTTGTATTATGTGGATTTTATGTGTGAACTTTTAACATTTTCAGTTGAATTAATGACTCAGGCCAACCATTTGACTTAACCAACTCTTGTTATTCAGTTGTTATCACTATTAGGCATGCATTTGACTATCGCAACACGGAAAATACAATCGCAACGCGAAATGAAAATCCCAACATGAAAATCGCAATGCGGAAATGAAAATCGCAACGAGAGAATCGCAATGCGAAATGAAAATCGCAATGCGAAATGAAAATCGCAACGAGAGAATCGCAATGCGAAATGAAAATCGCAATGCGAAATGAAAATCGCAACGAGAGAATCGCAATGCGAAATGAAAATCGCAATGCGAAATTAAAATCGCAATACGAAATGAAAATCGCAATGCGAAATGAAAATCGCAATGCGAAATGAAAATCGCAACGAAAGAATCGCAATGCGAAATGAAAATCGCAATGCGAAATGAAAATCGCAACGAGATAATCGCAATGCGAAATTATAAACGCATTGCGATTTTCATTTCCGCATTGCGATTTTCATTTCGCATTGCGATTCTCTCGTTGCGATTTTCATTTCGCATTGCGATTTTCATTTCGCATTGCGATAGTCATTTTTGCCTTCAACATAATGCAGATTGAAATCAACAAAATCAACCATTACATTTCAATCAATTAAACAAGCACAAATAAGAATTATGTTCGCATCAATTACACAAATCAACTTTTACAAATCATCTTTTACAAATCAATTAAACAATCAAAATTGAATCAACTTTTACAAATCAATTAAACAATCAAAAAACAATCAATTAAACTATTGAATCAACTTTTGCAGCTCGACATCATTTTCACGCAGTTCACTTCTGAGATTAACCTGCAGAAACCAAACATTTGTTCAAACAACACTTTCTACGCAAATTATTGAATTCTAATTACTTAACCAAACATTTTCATTTATAAGTATATAAACTTACCAATTGTTTATGGACATTTTTATAACGCGGATGCAGGTAGGCAGCGTCTCGTATATATCGATTTAGCCATATAATGCCGAAACCACAAGCCTACTGCAGCTTTATCTCTATCGGTGGGAGGTAGATACTTGATGCTTCCCGTCGTCAAACGCTCCAACGCCAAGCATACGAGAGGACCACAATCTCCTCTGGCTCCGCTCGTTTGTTGTGGCGCGGTCTCGTCTCTAATAACTGTAATATTGAGCTTCTTTGGCTTCTTGTTTCCAGAACGAGTCCAATAATTGATCGCATCCAAGAATTTAGCCAAATGAGAGCTCCATCCCTTAATAACATCTCTTAAATCAGCCAATGATATGTAATTTATCATGCTGTCATACACTATTGTCTTAAGGGATGGGAGCTGAAGCTCGACGAGAATCCAATGTTTACGTTCCAAAACAGGGATAAACACCTGCAATCATAAGTAATAATTCATTCATATGCGCACTTATTTCATAAAACCTTTAAACTCAATCTAAAATAAATACTAACCTTATCGACCTCCCACCATGCAGGATAAAGTTTAGCTTGTCCATTGCCCAAATCAAATGATTCATCTCGTGCATTCTTCAAGTGAACGGCGTGAAAAGACGTCGGCATTATTGTATATCGTATATTTTTATTTTTCTTAAGTTTTCTTATTATTAGAAGACGTGTCACCCACGCATCGATATGCTGTTTTACAAAAAAAGACATATATTAGTGACTTACATAAATTTAAAAAAAAAATTAATCAAATTGAAATATAAGAAAAATATAAGACTTACCCCCCCATCGAAATAGCCATTGTCTTCGACCCCTAATAATACGCCCCACCAAGGCCGTTCAAGCAACAAAAAGATATCATCGGTGAGCTTGCATATGTCAGTGAAACACCCCTTGCTCCGCTCATGTAGATAAAAATCAACTGCGGTCTTAGCCCAAAGGGTGTTATCCAAAATTGTGTCCGGTAGTTGTTCCCTCTCCTCTTCAGATACCGGTATGGTACTGGCCGGTAACTCATACGAGAGCCAACTCTCATCCATCATGTCCGGAACCGGTGGGGGTTTCTCAATACTTCGATATATTACCCCATGTGAATCGGGCTCTGGAATGGTGGGAGGGACCTCTTCAACGATGACAGTTGCCTCTTGAACGGTGGGAGGGGACTCTCGAGGAATGATATGGGGGGCCTCTTCAACGATAGGAGTGGACTCTTGAGGGATGACAGGCGAGTCGGGCTTCTTCTTGCGGTGTCTTCGCACTATTGGGGTGTACGGAGACTTAATAGCACGTGCACGCTGTCTGATGCGTGAACTCCGTCGTGCAAGCATAACCCGACGTAAAGCATCCACTCTATCGGGCCGCTAAATAATTAAATACAAAAATCAGTAAATAAACAGACATGATATTTAAACAGTGAAAACAAAGACAAATATGTTTCAAACTTGCATTGTATTCACCCAAGTCATTATTCTATCATAGTTCACAAAATGCATCAGATAACAAAGAAAAATATGTTTCAAACTAATACCCTGAAGTTAGTATTTGTCTTTGATTTGTCTATTGGTTGAAGTAATGCAATCCATTCAAGTTTCAATTTGCAGAAGAAGAAATAGTTTACTTTCGCAACACGAAACTTAAAATCGCAACGCGAAACCAAAATCGCAACGCGAAATGAAAATCGCAACGACAGAATCGCAATGCGAAATGAAAATCGCAACGAAAGAATCGCAACGCGAAATGAAAATCGCAATGCGATTTTGGTTTCGCGTTGCGATCTTGTCGTTGCGATTTTGGTTTCGCGTTGCGATTCTGTCGTTGCGATTTTCATTTCGCGTTGCGATTTTGGTTTCGCGTTGCGATTTTAAGTTTCGTGTTGCGAAAGTAAACTATAAATTCTTCTGCAAATTGAAACTTGAATGGATAAATTTACTTTCAACCAAAAGACAAAACAAAGACAAATACTATTTCACAGTGTTAAAGAATACACAGTTTAGCAGAATTGGCAGCAACCGAACAAATTTACTTTCAACCAAAAGACAAAACAAAGACAAATACTATTTCACAGTGTTAAAGAATACACAGTTTAGCAGAATTGGCAGCAACCGAACAAATTTACTTTCAACCAAAAGACAAAACAAAGACAAATATATTTCACAGTGTTAAAGAATACACAGTTTAGCAGAATTGGCAGCAACCGAACAAATTTACTTTCAACCAAAAGACAAAACAAAGACAAATACTATTTCACAGTGTTAAAGAATACACAGTTTAGCAGAATTGGCAGCAACCGAACAAATTTACTAAGCAATCTAAGTGAAATGGCTAATCTAAGTGAAATTACGAGTAAATTTATCATTAAGTTAAATATGGAAAATCTTAAACTTACCTCGTTGCGTAGAGTATGAACCTCATTCTGCAACGATACTATCATCTCACGTAGAGCGGCAACCTCACCACGTAAAGTTGACACCTCCACACGCCATGCACCATCGTTATCGCGTAGAGTACCGATCTCCTCACGCAAGGCATTGACCTCATCACGTAACTCCCTTGACTCATCCCGTTGAGGTGGAGGTGGAGAACAGGGAGATAGGAGTCGTGGCATCTTTGCCGGTCGCCTATCATGAGGTGATGGTGGAGAAGAGGCTCGATGATGTGACGGGATAGGTGATGGCTCTCGTTCTAGAGGTGTATAGTCGTCACGATCGGGTGATGGCTCTAGGTGAGGTGATGGCTCTCGAATTGGAGGAAGTGGATGCTGCTCATCATCCGTGCCATCAAAAAAACTCTGACTAGCTTGCCACCAATCAGTGGCAAGCTCTTCCTCCGTGGGTGACAGTCTTTGTAATGGAATGTTGGCCTCCTAAAATATAAAAACTCAAACAAAGTTAAACGTCTACTATTAATAACTTGTTTATATATTATATGAAAGTATTTGTGTTAACTTACATTATTTATTGTGGCATATGGTATTAAGTCTTCCCAATCCAACAGAGTTTTCCTCTTCCAGGAAATAGCCCTGGGAATATCATTTGACGTTTTTATTGCATATGTACGCATGCTGGGGAAAGCCTCGAATATCCAAATCTACAAACAATATAATAACAAAATTAGTAATTGTTAAATAATTAATTATAATTTTAGAAACATTATATAGAAATTCTTACCTTAAAGGCCCAAACAAAGCCTGACAAAGTGTATTTGGACCCATCGCCCCGCAAACTTTTGCGGTCATCAAAGGCAGACGACAACTTAGTCCAGGTAGCTTTCCATATATACGAACCCCACGGAAACAGATTCCATGCATTCAGGTCCTCTACCAATATTATTAGCTCCCGATGAATAGGTTGTCTGGCCTCTCTGCCTAAAAAGCCGGCATACACAAGTAGTAGAAGGCATACTCGGACAACATCGACGTCTTCCATCCGAGTGAAACCAGCTTTCTTATTAAATAATTTCTTCAGGTCGTCGACATGTAGGTTCGGCTTCTCCATTGACTCATCCGGAAAAACCCGGGATAACCATGATGGGCGGGCGATATGACGAGTGTACCGGCCTACATCATCGTGTCCGAATCGTAGACCAGTGATTAAGCAGAACTCCTTCCGCCCAAAGCAAGTATACGCTGGTGGAAAATGAAACCATATCTCTTCCTCACCACGTTGTATACTGTCGGGTAGATTTGATGTCATGGTCTGAAGCCACAAATGGGTCAAATTAGCATCTCCACCCGGATGCTGTACTCTCAGCCATGGCCCGAAGCAGGTTTCCTCAAACAATTGTCTTTGAGCAGGTGAAAGCTTCTTTGCAATTGTAGTGGCCAGGCTGACTTTATTTCTCAAGGTCAATTGAGCCGAAAAAAATTTCTACAAAAACAATAAACATACCAAGTTAGATATACCAAAAACTACACTGTGAAGATATACCAAAACAATAAACATAAAAAGTAGTAGTTTATTCTTGAAACTAAAATTTGCAACACTGTTTTGTCTTTTGGTTGAAATGAAAATCGCAACGAGAGAATCGCAACGCGAGATGACAATCGCAACGAGAGAATCGCAACGCGAAATGAAAATCGCAACGAGAGAATCGCAACGCGAAATGAAAATCGCAATGCGATTTTGGTTTCGCGTTGCGATTCTCTCGTTGCGATTTTCATTTCGCGTTGCGATTCTCTCGTTGCGACAGTCATTCTCTCGTTGCGATTTTCATTTATCTCGTTGCGACTCTTCTGCAAATTGAAACTTGAATGGATTGCATTACTTCAACCAAAAGACAGAACAAAGACAAAGACAAATACTAACTTGAAAATCGCAACGAGAGAATAGCAACGCGAAATGAAAATCGCAACGACAGAATCGTAACGCGAAATGAAATCTAAGTGAAATGGTTAATCTATTATTGAAATGACCAGTAAACTTATCATCAGTTTCAATATGAAAAACCTACAATAATGCAAACATTTCAAAATAAAAATAATTAAAAAACTAACCCTCGGAGGTTGATTTTCCATTTCTGAATATTGTGAGGGATTTCTGACCGTGAATGGTTGTGAGGGATTTCGCCGGAGATGGGGACGGAAATCTTCGGAGATGGGGACGGATTTCTTCGCCGTAGAGAGTGAGAGATGGAGATGGGACTGAGTTGTGATTTTAGGTTTTAGGTTATGAGTTGCGATTACGGGATTTTGTCTTAATATTCTTTTTGTAATTTGAAAATAAAATACGCGTAGCGATTATAATGGCGCTTTAAATATCGCGTTGCGATTTACGGATACGCGTTGCGATTTTATGTATTATCGTTGCGATTTACGGATACGCGTTGCGATATACGGATACGCATTGCGATTTACCCATACGCGTTGCGATTTACGGATACACGTTGCGATTTACGGATACGCGTTGCGATTTATGTGTTCGCGTTGCGATTTTCATATTCGCGTTGCGATTTTGGAAAATCGCAATGCGAATTTGTACTATCGCATCGCGATTTTCAAGAATCGCGTTGCGATTTTGGAAACTGATTTGCGATTCTGGAAACTGATTTGCGATTCTGGGGATCGCGTTGCGATTTTTATTTCGCGTTGCGATTTTGTTGGTCATTTTGGCAAATCCAAAAAAAGTTAGTTAAAATCGTATATTATAACTTTTTTTTGGTCACTGAGGCGATTTTCTCTAAATTTATAACGGAAAAAATAAGGAAATTATTGCCTGCCATTGAAGAACGCTATCAAGTTCCTTTCTTTGCATCTCCAGATGAGCATCCAAAGAAGAAAAAGACGAAGAACCCAAATTTTGAGCGTTTTGTTGCAGATGAAAAGGAATGGTGTATCCAAAAGGGTCTTGAAGACTGAAACAAGTATCAACTTCAAAGGAAGGAATTAGAGCAGGTACTGGGTTTAACTCCCAATCCTGAAGACCGCACATGGACCAAGGCAAACCCATATTTTCACTATGCAACTGTGCTTGAATAGCCATTGTAACGAAAACTCCCCTTTTGGCTCTTTTAAATTCTCATGCTTCACTTGTTAGATGGCTATTAATAAGAAAACCATAAAGGGTACGAAAATGGGCGTAAGTTCAGAGGTTGAAGGCTGAGGCTCCCGTGTCAGGAGAGATGCATGACTGGATTGCTTTGCTTTGGATTTTGTTTAAATTGAAAAAGACCATGCATCATCCTCATGAAACAAGGAAACCCGTACATGGTTATAAATCGAGTGAGAAAACCAACCAAACCTTAAAAACATTTTAAACATATATATCCATTAATGAAATGGGAGATTTTATGGACATATTTTGTTAGTAAATGGCGTATTTAAGGAACTAAATTAGGAAAATAATTAAGGATAAGAAGAGGGTGGGACAAAAGTTGGCCAAAAAATTCACTCAATTGGGAAATTAAAGAGTGAGACGTTATGGAAGGGAGATTTTGGAGATGTTGTATTTATGTGGAAGGTTCCAAAAGACAATTTATATGCAGAGAGGTACATCTGCAATTAAGTTTCAGCTCTGGGATTAACGGGCCACTTCTGTCATTGATTTGATGTAATGGGGCTGTAGGGTTCTTCTTTTGTTGTTGTTTCTAAATGATAATGGCTCAGGCACGTCGGAGCTAGGACCAGCCGCCCAGGGCAGGGCAGGGCTGGGCTCTTGCCGTATACTGTCATTTATTTAACAGCAAAAAAGAGAGATCATAGGGTTGAAAAGCTATCTGACAATGAGAGACAACGTTTTAACCGGGAGAGAGAGAGTTTTAACTTCCTTCCTCCTATGTTATTAGGGTTCATTTGATTCACATAAGATAAGATTATTAATAAAAATAAAAAATTATCAGGGAATAAGATTACTAATAATATTTTATTTTGTATTTAGTTTGTTCGCAGGAATGTAAGATTATCGTGTTTGTTTAAAGTAATAAAAGATTATTAGAATGTATATTTTATCAAATTATCCTTATTTTATATTTATTTTTTAACAAGTTGAATTCTACTATAATTTTATTATAATTAATTTATATATTATCTTTAAAAATTTTAAATTCATAAAATTTATATAATTTTTTATAAAATTGAAAAGATAAATAGGTTTAATGAAAGGATAAAATTTTATTTTAACCCTTTAACTTCATATAAAATTTTAATTATGGATTTTTTTTTGTAAATCTAAAATAGTTTAATGATAAATTTGTAATTTAATATTCGTAGATTTTTTTATTCAACGACATAATAATGATATTTTTGGAGAAAAAATTATTGGCATTTTAGTTCAAAATTTCGATAATCTAATAATACTTAAGGGAATGAGAGTACTCACATTCTCAGTAATATACCCCAAAAATCCACAGTTGGAAATAAAAAATTATCAGGAATAGGATTACCGCCAACCAAACGGGGAATGAGTATTCCATTCCCTGATAATCATAAATGTCGTGAACCAAACGGCCCCTTAGGATAAGCATTCGATCCAATCAAATCAAATCGAGTCAAAAAAATTTGAATAATTTGAATTAATGAATCATATTTTACAAATTCGGAGTTTACTTGAAATTTTTTCGAGTAGAATAGAATCAAGTAATTTTTCGAGTTTAAGTATAAATTTAATTGTGAATATTTATAATATTATAATATTATATGATTCTAATTTAAGTGACTTTCTATAACCATATATACAATATAAATATGTTTCTTTATTATTTTCATATGTGATATACATATATTATATAAAGTCCAAAGACTCGATTCAAAATAAAAATAAATCCACTAATCAATAAAAATTTCGAGTTATTTGAGTTGTATTTATAACTCGATTTGAACTTAAATTTTTTCAATCGAGTCGAATTTATAAAATTATAACTCGGAATCAATTTAAATCGAATTAAGTCTAAAAAAATAATTTTTTGAATTAAATTGAATTTTGTTCACCCTGTATGCTCTAACAGTTAGCTCGATAGGCTGATTAATAAGTGCAATAGATAGCGATGAGATTGTAGCTTTAAAGGAGGGCATCGCCAGCAGGCAACAACAGCATGTCAAGTCCAGATAGCCCACAGGTATCGAGAAGGGAATCGAACAGCTTATTCTCTAGCCAACAGGATGATCAAAAATATTTTTTGTATTTTTATTGATTATATGTTTTCACTTCCTATAACTATTTTACGTCCATCTCTACTATGCAAGCCGGTGAGTTTTCATTTGCTGCCGGATGAGGTGCTCAGAGAGTTTCACATTGATGGGTGCCTCGGCTCCACTAAGCAGGGCTATGGTGTAATTAATTTGTGTTTCCTTTCTTTACCAAAAAAAATATTATAATATTAGTCATAATAAAAAAAGGAAAGATGTTAAGAGAGTGTTCTGCCGAATTTGTGGCAAGTTTCAAAGTTGTTGTTTTCTTTATAAAACAAATTATATACTTATTTGATGTGCTGTCATTCTGTCAATAAAAAATAATTGCTTGTAAAGGACCTGAACCGGACCTGAGAGCCAGGCGAACGAACGGCGACGCCGTGCCAGCAAATACCACCCTTGCACATCTCTTGAACGTGTACGGAAGCGGCTTGATCGCCGGAAATCTCGTAAGTGACTTTACGGATGACGTCCCACGTCAGCGTGCCGACCAAGATGAAACCCACCACCGTGCTGGACACAAGCAGCACGAACCAACCGCCAAAGCTCCTCCCACTCAGCAAACCATATGCCTTTATCCCCGCTATCACTGCCAAGTATATCATCATCAAGTTGCCAATCACCGCGTCGGATATCACCATAACCCCCACAATTTCTCTCTTCTTCTCAGTAAATAAATAGTTAAAAGAGTTGGCTCTGGGGCGGGGGCGGGGGAGCTGCTGATCAAAGAATAATAGGAAAAGAATCAGGTAGCAGATGGAGTGGACTTTTGACTAACAACTCAATGAGCAGGATACGGAAAATTTAATATTAAATAGCTAAACTACATTTAGCTTCTCAACTTCTATCATATTTCTATTATGGTTATCTAATTTTAAAATTTTTCGATTCAATCACTCAATTCTTGAATTGTATTTTTTGTCACTCAATTTTTAATTTGGTAATAATAGTAGTAAAATATTGGGTTTTGGATAATTTTATTTATTAGATTGACTCAATATTTCATTATTTTTGTAAACCATATTTTCCTTCATTATCATTTAGCTGCGTCGAGTATCATTTACTACAATGATTGATATTGAGACATTTTGTATTTCTTCATTTTTCTTCTTATTGACATGTTTTTCCCCTGAATTGATGACACACAAATTAAAACATCAATATTTTTTAGTTAAATCTATAATCTTCGTCATCTTTATCATACAATCGAGATATATTATTTTTCCTTCTTGACCTCTACATCATTTAAATTTGAAAAAAATATTTTAATATCGTTGAATGAAGATAACCCTAAATTTTAGTGTCAGATTGTCTAAAAATTCATGCAACATTCAAAACAACAATCATTCACGCTTTAAAGTGCAATTTTTTTTTCTAATTTTAATCTTATATACATCTGTTTTTTCCTTCAAATAATTATAGGAAGATATAAAATTAAAAGAAAAAATTACAATGTATCAACAAATCCCATCTCTTATATATAGAGAGAGAGAGATAGAAGAGAGTATTGTCTATAGTCTATATTAGGAATCACGTGATGCAATCTACAGAAAAACACAAATAATATCGTATATTTTAATCAAATTGCTTACATTCTAAAAATAATGCAAGAAACTGTAATCAATTAGACAAAAAATTGCTTACATTCTAAAAATAATGCAAGAAACTGTAATCAAATTGATACATGAGTGAGTTCAACTACATGGTTAACAAGGAACAATTGCTTGTAATCAATTACACATAAATCATTTTTAAAAAAAATAACTAAAACACGAAACATACCACCTGGTAATACTTCCAAAGAAATCCCTAGAATTTATACATGATGGGCTTACTGCTTCCTTCAATTAGACCAAAAAAAGAAGACGGTGAGAAGAAGTTGGCGTTCATCTTTGTAAAACTTGAATGTTCTATTGATCATAATATTGAACAGCCACCATACGACTTTTTCTTCTTACAATTTTTTTTCAGAGGCATCAGCACTACCTTGATCGCTGAATCAAAGACTGACTTCACATTCTGCAGTCGAGCATTCACAGAAAATCTCATAGGGACGCTTCCACGCAATTCTTCGGTTGAAAAATATTTATTTGTGTTTAGAGAAAATTTTAAACTGTTGTGTTTTCGAACTACATTTGACGTATGCAGGGGCCTCTATCTGTTTCCTTAATTCCTCTCCCTCAAGAACACAAAGCAATGCAACACAGATATTCAAATAATTGAAACATATTCCACCAAAAAGAATAACAATTAATAATGCTTATATGTACCTGAGCCGTGGATATAGGCACTGCAGCCGGATGGTCTGCCAAGAACTGCTCATCGTCCCGAAGGTCTGCAGCAGCAAAGTGTAGAAAACATGAACGTTAGTATAAAAGGGCACTCTATTGATTTGTGAATGATTTCATTCACTTGGAGATTGAAATCGTATATAAGAATCTCACTATCCCGAGATTAAGAATCATACCAAGCTTAGCTCCAACAAGCATTATCGGAACACCAGGAGCGTAATGCTTTAGTTTAGGAATCCACTGAAATGGAAAGAAAGAAACACACATGAATTGCAGGGAAATGCAATACAGATATACTGCACCAAATTATTATTATCTCAAAAGAGAAGCCATTTTCATAACTGGTGACATTTTTGGTGACATTTTCATAACTGGCCTTGCTGATGAGAGAAAATGCAATAATAAAGACATCTGCCCCACGATAACTCAGCGGTCTTAACCTATTGTAAACCTCCTGACCTGTGTTCAAGGCAACAATTTCAGACCCAAAAGCAAGAAAGAAAACAAAATAATAGAAGAGCACCCAACTTGGTTTAAGTTATAAAGGAATAAAGTTTCCATTAATTGGAAAGAGATCTGGCTGCACTTGATCAGCCTACATTGTATGACATTAACAACAATCTTAACAGCATTTATAAAAGACAACAAATCTTCCTGAGGAAATTCAAAGTTGTAGAAATACAGAACAAAGCACACTCAAACGTCAACATTTTTAAACTTTTCTTCTTCAATTATTCCAAAACAACACACACATACGGGACCGTCCCTATATAAGTTTAAATATTAGACAAATTAAGCCTTCCCCCAAATTTAAAATTTAAATACTCAATAAGCACTTGTACTTTTTAAGTTCAATCATTTAACCCTCCTGGTGTTTCAACATGGTTCCTTGTATTACATACAAATTCAGCTTATCCTATGATTTCCATTAGCTATTTTTGAACCAAACGGAAGAGTAAAAGCTCTAACAATTCATGCGATCAAGCAACAAATATACGAAAATGCAGGAAAGAGGCTCACCGTAGGAAAAGTATTGCTGGTGTAAGAAATCAGCAGGCATGTCTTTCCGACGGCGCCATCGCCGACGGTGAAACATTTTATGAATCTGGAGGCGCTCATTATCCCTCGCCCCCGTAGGAAAAAACCACCAAAAGCCTGTTTTTTACTACTTTCTTGGGTATTATTATTAGAGAAAATAACCTCAGTGACCAAAAATCCCATATAATATACGATTTTAACCAACTTTTTCCAGATTTGCCAAAATGACCAACAAAATCGCAATGCGATCGCTAATTCGCAACGCGATCTCCATTATCGCAAATTCGCGTTGCATTTTCGTAATGCGATAGTTGAAAATCGTGTTGCGATGATCTACAGTATCGTTGCGATTTTCCCAATTCGCAATGCGAATAAGTAAATCGCAACGCGAATTGGGAAAATCGCAATGCGAATAAGTAAATCGCAACGCGAATTGGGAAAATCGCAATGCGATACTGACTATCGCAATGCGATAATAAAAAATCGCAACGAGATACTTACTTTCGCAACGCGATACTGACTTTCGCAACACAATAATACATAATCGCAATGCGATTTTCAAAGCGCCATTAGTATCCTGGCCAAGTATTTTATTTTTAAATTCCAAACATGAATATTAATATATTGGAACACTGAACTGTCCACAGTATATCCCGTAATCGCAACTCATAACCTAAAACCTAAAATCACAACTCAGTCCCATCTCCATCTCTCACTCTCTCACCCATCTCCGACGAAATCCGTCCCCATCTCCGGCGAAATCCGTCTATCTAAATCTCTCAGAGCCACCCTCACAATCAGAAATGGAAAATCAACCAAATCAACCAACGAGGGTTAGTTTTTTTAATTATTTTCTTTTTGAAATTTTTGCATTATTATTAGGTTTTTCATATTGAAATTGATGATAAGTTTACTGGTAATTTCAATAATAGATTAACCATTTCACTTAGATTGCTTATTAAATTAACCAAGAATCGCAACGCGAAATGCAAATCGCAACGCGATTTTAGTTTCGCGTTGCGATTCTCTCGTTGCGATAGTCATTTTCGTGTTGCGATTTTCATTTTCAGAAACTATTCTTCTTCTGCAAATTGAAACTTGAATGAATTGCATTACTTCAACCAAAAAACAAAGACAAATACGAAATTCACAGTGTTGCATATTTAAGTTTGAAGAATAAACTACTACTATTTATGTTTATTATTGTTTTTGGTATATCTTCACATTGTAGTTTTTGGTATATCTAATTTAGTATGTTTATTGTTTTTGTAGAACTTTTATTCGGCTCAGTTGACATTGAGAAATAAAGTCAGCCTGGCCAAAACAATTGCGTCGAAGCTTTCACCTGCACAAAGAAAAATGTTTGAGGATACATGCTTCGGGCCATGGCTGAAAGTACAACATCCCGGTGGAGATGCGATGTTGACACACCTGTTTCTTCAAACCATGACTAGCGATCTACCAGAGACTATACAACGTCGTGATGAAGAGATATGGTTTGATTTTCCACCAGCGTATACGTGTTTTGGGCGGGAGGAGTTTTGCTTAATCACCGGTCTACGCTTCGGACACGATGATGTAGGTCGGTACACTAGACACATTACCCGCCCATCATGGTTATCCCGGGTTTTTCCTGAGCTGGAGAGGCCGAGTCTACACGTAGAAGACCTGACAAGATTTTTGAATAATAAAGATGGTTTTACTCGGATGGATGACGTCGACGTTGTCCGAGTATGCCTTCTAATTCTTTTGCATGCCGGCTTTTTAGGTAGAGAGGCCAGACAACCTATTCCAAATGATCTAATCAAATTGGTAGAAAACCTAAATGCGTGGAACCTGTTTCCGTGGGGCTCGTATTTATGGAAAGCTACATGGAATAAGTTATCGTCTGCCTTGGATGATCGAAAAAGTTTGCATGGCGATGGTTCCAAATACACTTTGACATGCTTTATTTGGGCCTTTAAGGTAAGAATTTTGATATGATGTTTCCAAAATTATAAGTAATTATTTAACAATTACTAATGTTTGTTATTATATTGTTTGTAGATTTGGATATTTGAGGCCTTTCCCGCCATGAAGACATATGCAATAAAAACTTCAAATGATATTCCCAGGGCTATTTCCTGGAAGAGGAAACGGACCTTGCAATGGGAAGATTTACTACGGTATACGACAATAAATAATGTAAGTTAACATAAATACTACCATATGTTTATAAACAAGTTATTACTAGTACACGTTTAACTTTGTTTGAGCTTTTATATTGTTAGGAGGCCAACACTCCTCTACAGAGGCTGACACCCACGGAAGCTGAGCTTGCCACTGATTGGTGGCAAGCTAGTAAGCGTTTTTTGATGGAACGGTTGATGAGCAGCCTCCACTTCGGGAGCCATCACCTCGCCCAGAGCTATCACCTCACCCAGAGCCATCATCTGATCGACCCGGCTATACACCTCCACAACGACAGCCATCACCTATTCTGTCACATCATCGAGCCTCTTCTCCACCATCACCGCAAGATAGGCGACCGGCAAAGATGCCACGACGTTTATCTCCCTGTTCTCCACCTCCACCTCAACGGGATGAGTTAGGGGAGTTACGTGATGAGGTCAATGCCTTGCGTGAGGAGGTCGGTACTTTACGCAAAGACGATGGTGCATGGCATGTTGAGGTGTCTACATTACGCGGTGAGGTAGCCGCTCTACGTGAGATGGTAGCATCGTTGCAGAATGAGGTTCATACTCTACGCAACGAGGTAAGTTTAAGATTTTTCATACTCGTAATTCATTCGGTTGCTGCCAATACTGCTAAACTGTTTTTGTTAGTATTTGTTTTTGGTTTTGTTTTTGTCTTTTGGTTGAAGTAATGCAATCCATTCAAGTTTCAATTTGCAGAAGAAGAATAGTTTACTTTCGCAACACGAAAATGACTATCGCAACGCGGAAATGGCTATCGCAATGCGATCTGAAAATCGCAACGACAAAATCGCAATGCGAAATGAAATCGCAACGACAAAATCGCAACGCGAAATGAAAATCGCAATGCGATTTGTGTTTCGCGTTGCGATTTCATTTCGCGTTGCGATTTTGTCATTGCGATTTTCATTTCGCATTGCGATAGCCATTTCCGCGTTGCGATAGTCATTTCGCGTTGCGATTTTAAGTTTCGTGTTGCGAAAGTAAACTATTCCTCTTCTGGAATGTTTATATATGTTGTCATTTTAAATGTTTATATAGTGCTTACTTCTGGAATGTTATCTGAGCATTTTGTGAACTATGATAGAATAATGATTTGGGTGAATACAATGCTAGTTTGAAACATATTTGTCTTTGTTTAATATCATGTCTGTTTATTTACTGATTTATGTATTAATTTTTTTTAGCGACCCGATAAGGTGGATGCTTTACGTCGGGTTTTCCTTGCACGACGGAGTTCACGCATCAGACGGCGTGGACGTGCTATTACGTCTCCGTTCACCCCAATGGTGCGAAGACTCCGCAAGAAGAAGCCCGACTCACCGGTCATCCCTCAAGAGTCCCCTCCAATCGTTCAAGAGGCCCTATTCTCCCTCAAGATTCCCCCCCCCCACCGTTCAAGAGGCCACTGTCATCGTTGAAGAGGTCCCTCCCACCATTCCAGAGCCCGATTCACATGGGGTAATATATCGAAGTATTGAGAAACCCCCACCGGTTCCGGACATGATGGATGAGAGTTGGCTCTCGTATGAGTTACCGGCTAGTACCCTTCCGGTATCTGAAGTGGAGAGGAGACAACTACCGGAAACAATTGTGGATAATACCCTTTGGGCTAAGACCGCAGTTGATTTTTATCTACATGAGCGGAGCCAAGGGTGTTACACTGACATCAACAAACTCAACGATGAAATGTTTTTGTTGCTTGATCGGTCTTGGTGGGGTGTGCTATTAGGGGTTGAAGATAGTGGCTATTTGGATGGGGAGGTAAGACTATATTTGTCTTATATATGATTTTGATTAATTTGTTTAAAAATTAATGTAATTCACTAATATATGTATTTTTTTTGTAAAACAGCATATCGATGCGTGGGTGTCACGTCTACTAATAATAAGGAAGCTTAGGAAAAATAAAAAAAAAATCGCTATATACAATAATGCCGACGGCTTTTCACGCAGTTCACTTGAAGAATCAACGAGATGAATCATTTTT